TTCCTGCTTTTTTTTTTTAATTCAAAGTGGCTTCAGCCATTCCCCATGGGTTCATGGGGAATCACAAGCTATATCTTGTCTTTCTTACTCAGAGGTGAGCAGTGAAAATGAAGTGTCAGAAGATAAAGTGGACAGCAGTGTGGTAGATGTGCTGCACCAGAAATATCTCAACTCCAGCCTGTATCAGAGCACAAAGGAAGCATTGAGGAAAGTGCAGCTTGCACAGGGAAGCAAGCAGAGAGTATCCAAGCAGGGACATGAGATTACCTATGCAAATGGATTCCTCACCCAGCTGTACTGGGTGTCCAAGCGTTCCCTGAAAAACCTCATCAGGAACCCACAGGCCTCTGTTGCACAAGTAGGTAACAGCTGCTAAGAGTCTCAGATTCTCTCTGCTCTCAGCCCCGCAATCTGCAGTTTTTAGGCTAGATTTATTTTCAAAGGCAGCTAGGGAAACAGGGAAGTCCTGTGCTGCTGCCACTGAAGTGGAGTGAGATGCCCAGCTACCTTTGTTGCCTTTGAAGAAATCCTCCATTTTAGTTTAGCACAAGGACTACTGCATTGAAGATTGGGGAGTGGGAGGAAATGCTCCATTCTGTTTTACATGAGGAGCTTCTAGGGTGACATTCGTTTTGTGCCTCACTTGAAATTTTAAGCTGGGTTATTCTTTGGGTGTGCTTCTACTAACCTTTCCCAGCCAAAGAAGATCAGAGGAAGGAGAAAAGTGAAGAAGATAAACTTGGGAAATTTGCCATAAGGCTTTCAATTGTGTATGTCATAGGTATACGCTGACTCACAACAGCAAAGTTTTAGGCAGCTGTGAATCTTAAACCCCACATATGCCTTAATAAGTTTGTCCCTATTTACTTATCTGAAGGACTCCCTTTTCTGTTTCTTCTTTCCACTTCTAGATTGCAGTGACTATAATTCTAGCCTTGGTTGTGGGTGCTATCTTTTTCGGTGTAAAATTGGATCCAAGTGGTATTCAGAATCGGTAAGTTGGAAAAGCACAGCTTTGCTCATTTTTCTATCTGTAGCAGACAGGTTTCAGCCACAGGGAAGTCCTTGGGATCCACTTGGACCACAAAAGAGGGTTGGGTTGGGTTCACAAGCCTTAATGCACTACAGCATGGTATTGCTGGAGGTCCTAAAGGGACTGTGGTTCTGTTGGGCTCACACGTATGTACAAAGGAGATGTGAAAGGGAAGATAAAGGAATAAACCTGGTTTTACACCTAAGATCTACACAAGTAGCACGATTAAATATCGCCATTCTGTGGACAGAGACAGAAAAGCACTGACTTGATGGTATGATGATGTCTGAGGCTGCCAGTGCCGATCTAGGCTGTCTCCTCACTTTTTGACTGTTCTGTTTTGCCTTCTAGGGTTGGATCCTTGTTTTTTGTCACAACAAACCAGTGTTTTTCCAGTGTCTCTGCAATTGAGCTGTTCATCAGAGACAAGAAACTATTTGTGTAAGTAGTGTGGCACTCAGACTGTCTCATACCCTGGAGTGAGGTGGGGGGAGTATCTTACAGGCTAAACAAAATTACCCACCAAAGACTTGATTGCTCCCTTGTAACATCAGATTGTAATAGTAATGCTAAATTGGTCTGTAGAGCAGGGAGCTGAAATGCTAAGAGGTGGAGGAAGGAGGGGAGGAATAAAATGCTTTTACTTGCTTGTTGTGTCACAGTTTACTGAGAAGTGCTTTTCCTACCCGCTTTTGTTAACAGCTGTTTTTGAAGTTTGCACGTGAATCCTGCAGGCTGTGAACGCTGCCTGCCCTCTTGCTGACAGGGTTGAAGTGCTGTCTTGCAATGGTCCTAAAGTGTGCAAGGATGAAGGGAGGGTTCTTGGAAAAGCTTTGCAAGGGATGCTCAGATGAAAAGGGCTGCTGGCTGGCTTACAAGAGCTACCTAATAATCAAGCACATCTCTCTGTGTATATATATATATATGTATATGTGTTTGTATGTACATGTGTGTAAATGTGTGTATATATTATATACATACATGTATATATACATATATGTTGAAAATGTAGTTTGGAATAGCCTCCAGCTCATGGGGTGAAAGGGCAGGAGACATGTCCTATGCAGTAAAGAAGAAATTGGAGATTTGTGCCTGCAATGAACATGTCCATCACAGGTTACTCAGAGCAGCTTAATATTGCCCCTAACAGCTGCTCAGGAGTGAATCTTCCACACACTGACATTGGTTGCCCGTCTGCTCTTCCTACCAGCTTAGTTTACCAGCTGTGTCAATGGGGATTTTGGCACCTCACCAATTAAAGCATCTTTTCATGAGCTCCATTAAGCAGCAAAACAATGATAACGACATTTAATTGTCCTGTGAACTAGAGGTGAATTGATGTCCTAAAGCTGTTTTCCCATTGTTGGGTATCATTCCTTCTCCCCTGGAAGCAGCTGTATGAGTTAGCTGTGGATGAAGTGTTCCTCCAGTTAATAGTCTACTACTTTCCCATGCTCTTGTGTTAAGGATCATTTGCTTTGAGAAGAGATTTAGGAACTTTTTTTCCCAATATGTTAACTTAGCAGTCACATAGCCTTTCATTCACTTTCCTCAGAGGTCTCTCAGTATGACTGCAGGGCTTGTGAGATAGATCAGCCCTTACTTTATAGAGTGGGAAGTGATAGCACAGAGAAAATAAGCAACTTTCATGTAAAGAAAGAGTCAGCGGTAGAGAGAACAAACTGAATCAGGATAAACCAGACACACATGCTGTACCTGCTTCCTGCATAACCTCTAAACCTGTACAACTCCCCTCCTTTCTGTCCTTACAGCCATCAGTACACCAGTGGATATTACCGCGTGTCTGCCTACTTCTTGGCCTTGATGATAGGAGATCTGCTGCCCATGAGAACTGCTCCAGCCATCATATTCTCATGCATCAGTTACTGGATGATTGGTAAAGAATTGATGCTTTTGTTGAACTTGTCATCTTCCAATACATTTGATTTCTGACTTAGCCAGAGTTTAATTCCTATATCTGTAATATGAAACTAGTTGAATCTTCAACTGATTTAAGTGCTTGGCATCATAACTTCAGAGGACTCTGGGGCAGGGGCAGAGACACCAGGAATCTAAGACAGGGACCTGCTTTACCACATCTTTTGGTAATGCTCTTTGGGCCCTTGGAGAATGCATAGTTCCTGCCAACTTCAAATTTGGTCTTTCTTTCTGCTTTCCCTGGCTTTTACAGGAGTCCAAGGGTACCTCTCTGGGATTCATAATGTGGTTGTTTACTGGACTCTTCCCTTTCTGTTTTTTGACAGGATACCAAGCTGTTGCAGGCCGGTTCTTCTTCTTCATGCTGACCGTGGTACTGGTGTCCTACACTGCCACGGCCATGTCTCTGGCTATCAGCGCTGGGATGGATGTGGTGGCTGTGGCCAATCTGCTTATCACTATTTGTTTTGTCCTGATGCTTGTAAGTACCTAAGGGGGTGATTGCTCCTTTGGTGGAGGTGAGGAAGCAGCTGAGACAAGCTGAGAGGAATGGGCTGAGCCAGCCCTAAGCAGGCTGAGAATCCACAGTCTGGTAGCATGTCAGCCCCATGCCTGTGATTTTATTGTCACTATAGTCAAAGATCTACTTCTGCCAAGTTGTAATCTAAGGGTCAAATCATTGCTCAAGTGCAATTCAGTAGATGTGATGCCAGTAGGGCTTTGCAAATAGTGTGGCCCAAAAAGTGTATGGGTTGTTATTTTTTTAAATTATTCTTATAAAAATTGATTTTAAAAAAAATCTTTCATTTCCAGTATTAGAAATGTAAGTGATCAACTAGATCATTTAAAAGGAAAAAATCTTGAAATAAACTTTAGATCAATTGATTTTAATTGCATTAAGTTTTGTTGCCCAGTGGGATCAGCAGCAGCATACCCTTTATTTTAATTCAGTATTGCCCTTGGGTTCCAGAAATTACTTCAATACTTTTGTTCAAGGACTTCTAAGGAAGAGAGCAAGTGAGAGGGAAAGGAATTTTGACTACTCATAGATGAGGGATGTGAATTGTTTTTCAAAGAGGTAGTGTCAGTGATGAAACTTCTTGACTGTGAGGGCTATCAAGTTACCTTAGAGTAAAAAGTCCTTCCTGTCGGGTGATTCCTGGTAGCTGTCTGCTTACATATTCTGAGCCCACAGCGCATCCCTTATCCTTTGATTTGCAACTTAACCTGATTTTGCAATAAGCTAAGTGAGAGTGTATCACTTCAAATGCTCGCTGTGGGTGAGAAATGTGCATGTGTAGTGAAGGGCAGCTGATGGACATGGAGTTAAGTTACAGTATATAAGGAATGGCACATGCACATCCTGAAAGACTGCAGGGTAAGCACAAAAACACTTGTGATGGAGCACAGCCTGAAGCGTCATGTTTGGCTATGAAGTCCAACTGTGCTAAGAAGTAAAAGAGCAAACCTTGTCCTAGGCAGGAGAGAGCACAGCTGTAAGATGTAGGTCAGAGGAGAAAGCTGAAAAAGTAACAGCCCTTAAGGCTTCCCATGGTTTCCTTCTTGTTTCTCCACTTCCTCATCTCCCAGTCATCCTTCTTTAGCCTCTGGCTAGCTCTACCATAGTACACAGTCCTCCAGAGTAAGAAGTTGTTAGCGTGCATGCTTCTTAGCTCACATGTGGATGTAGAAAACCTTTCTGACCTCTTTGCAAGCAGTTCAACTGGAGTACTTGGGTGTGCTGTTGGGCCAGCTGGCTGTGACTGCTGCAAGGTTTGAACCTCATGCCTGTAGGCACAGGCGTAACAGCAGTAGGAGGTCCATCTATCCCAGTGCACCTCTGCTGGGCAACTGCAGTATCTGTGCAGGAATGTCACTGTTTGCAGTAAACAGAGTTTGTGACACATTAATCTCTTCTGTTCTATTTCAGATTTTTTCAGGCCTCTTAGTAAACCTCCCTTCTGTAATGGGCTGGCTGAACTGGCTCAAGTACTTCAGCATCCCCCGATACGGCCTCACTGTGAGTAGAAAGTACCATCGGTCTCCTGTGAGTAACATAGCCACACTGCTGCTTCCTGAGAGGTTTTGAGTACAAAATGAAGTTCTCTTAAAAGTCAGATTTGGTTTCTTTCCTTGCATAAACATGGTAAAAGAAGAACAAACCAGCTAACCCCAAGAAGGAAGCAAAAGTTAATCTCTGTGTGAGATTATTGATGATCTGGATGAGGGGATCGA